TTATGCTAGACGCGTGCTACTTGCTGCTTGCCACTGCCACGCCACTTTGGTGGGCGCTCGCCCTTATGTGTCGCAGTACACTACGCTACGCCACTCTATCCAAGTGAGTCGAAGGGGCGAGGCGGCAGTCTGTATCGTACGCTACGCACGGGAAATTTAGTTGTGGGATCGTAGTAGTTGCTAGCATTGGCTGATGGCAGGCGTCTTGTCGCCTTGCCGCTTCCCTCCCCCCACCAACTCCATCACCGCCACGCGCCATTGTCATTCGGTTGTCTGGTCTCAACTCCACGTACTGCAGTCTGTCTAACTGTTTAGGTTTAACGTTTTTGTAATTTGTTTTGAGCGGAGTAACATTTTGAAATTGTAACTTGTGAGGTAAGAAATATTTATTTGTTTATAGTAATGGTAATGTAAGTTAATATAGATCTTACATCTAAAGGTTCAGATAAGTTTATGCAGCAGCAGTTAGCACTGGTGTAAGGAGTAGTGAGACGGTGAGAGCTGTGCTGTGTAGGCCGTAAGGCCGTAAGTTGTCAAATTTTGTGGCTATTTAATTTTGCATATTTCGCCATTTTACTTTGTGGTAGTAAGAGAAGCAATGTAATTCGGCATGTTGCCATACGTATAGGTTTCACAATGAGTTGAATAAGTAATGGAAGGAAATTCGCTTCCCTCATTTTTTCGCTTCATTTTTCCTGTCGTATCGTACTACAGTTTTGAATTATACAGATATTCTTTTTTTTACAGTCAGACCTTTACTTCCGATGTCATTGATGCTATAACAAGCAGCTGTACAAATGGATGGACGCAAACGGCTCAGTGGGTGGCAATACAAAAAAGTAGCCGAAGAGAAGAAAAAAAAATTGACAGAAGTTGTAAATAAAACTGCGAAGCTTGATACATTTTTTACAAGAAGTAACCTACCAGTGCCACCAGAACCAGTGCTTTTAGAAAGTGTCAAAGAATTTTGTGAAGTAGAACTAGAAGTATGTTCCATATTAACGCCTTCAGCTTCAACAGCTTCAGCATCAGTGCCTTCAGCTTTAACATCAACCCCTCCAGCTTCAGCATTAGCCCCTTCAGCTTCAACATCAACCCCTTTAGCTTCAGCATCAGCCCCTCCGGTTTCAACATCAACCCCTTCAGCTTCAGCATCAACCCCTTCAGCTTCACCCTCAACCCCTTCAGCATCAGCACCTTCAGCTTCGTCATGTGTTGATACTGACAAGATCAAACCAGCTATATCCGAATTAACTTTTGTTGTTGACGAGATTGAAGATCAATTAACAGTCTCTGAACCTGACTCTTCTGTCCATTTGAAACCAAATTATGATCCTGCTTTATGGATAGTGAATGAAGAGACGCGGGAATATTTTGTTAAAAATGGATGGAATCAAAATAAAGATTGCGATTTTAAAAAATCTGAAAGGCAATATCCAGACAGGAAAAGAGTGTTGGCTAAATGGCTATTCGACAGAAAACTTGCAAATGGCGAAATTGTAAATAGAGATTTCTTGATTTACTCACCAAGTTTAGGCTCTTTGTTCTGTGGTCCATGCAAATTGTTTAGTTCGACCTCTACTCAGTTTACTGAAAATGGGTTCAGTGATTGGAAACATGCATCAGCGAGAATAAAAGAGCATGAAAACTCGCACGTTCACTACAATAGTGTAATAGTATACAAACAAAGAGCAGAAGCAGCCGGGAGGATCGATAAGCTTCTACAAAACCAAGTGGAAGAAGAAATAAGGTATTGGAAGGCAGTTCTCCAGAGAGTGGTGGCCGTAATAAAAAAACTTGCCTCGCGTGGTCTTGCCTTTAGGGGGACTGACGAAAAATTTGGTTCTTTTTCAAATGGCAACTATATGATGTGCTTGGAGCTGATTGCCGAATTTGATCCATTTTTGAAAGCACACATTGAAAAATATGGGAAAGCGGGTAAAGGCAATCAGTCATACCTATCATCAACCATTTGTGAAGAACTCATCGAAATAATGGCAAAAACCGTTATTGATACAATTTTGAATGATGCTAAGAAAAGCAAGTACTATTCTATAATAGTAGATTCCACCCCTGATGTAACACACATTGATCAATTGTCTTTCATATTAAGGTATGTGAATGAATTGGGAATCCCTGAAGAACATTTTGTTGAATTTATGAAAAATCAAGGTCATACAGGTGAAGAACTAGTGAACTCAGTGCTTTCTTTCCTACAGTCGAAAGGATTGGACATACAAAACTGTAGGGGACAGTCCTATGACAACGCGTCAAATATGTCAGGAATGTACTCGGGGTTGCAGGCAAGACTTAAAGAAAAGAATCCCTTGATATTTTATGTGCCTTGTTCAGCGCATTCACTAAATTTAGTGGGATCAAGCGCAGCAGAATGCTGTTCTCTTGCAAAACATTTCTTTGATCTCTTGCAAGGATTGTACAATTTTTTCTCGTCTTCTACGCACAGGTGGAATCTTCTTCTGTCAAATTTCACGGCCACAGGAAAGGACAAGAACACGTCGTTGAAGTCTCTCAGTGTTACAAGATGGTCTGCAAGGGAAGAAGCTTGCAAAAGCCTTAATAAAGACTACAAACCCATGGTCAAGACGCTGATAGACATGACTTCAAGCAATCATGAAAACAAACAGACACAATCCAAAGCCAAAGGGTTGTTGCGAAAACTAATGTCTCTAGAAACATGTTTCATGGCAGCCCTTTGGGGAGATGTACTTCAAAAATTTAATTCAGTCAGTGAAAAGATCCAGGCTGAAAATATGACCGTGGACAGCGTTGTAATCCTGTACAACTCACTCACAGAGTATGTGATGAACATGAAAGACATGTTTACCCACTATAAGAAAGAGGGCGAAAAAAAACTGCAAATTGCGCAAGGTGAAATGAGACAGAACGATGAGCCAGAACTTCCACAAGAGACGCAGCCGCAGGTGCAGCAAGATTTTGATCGCCCAAAAAGAAAGGCGAAAAGAAAGAGGTTCTTTGATGAATCTTCAGAAGAAGATGAAGAAAGAACTTATGATGAGGATGATGACATTAGGGGAAATTGTCTTCAACAAAGTTATGACATCATCGTGGAAACACTTCAGTTTCAGTTAGACAAAAGGATCTCTGTGTACACAGACTTCGTTGCAAAGTTTTCATTTCTAACAAAATTAAAGACTCTAACTACCGAAGAAATTACTGCTAACGCGACGTCTTTGCAGAAAATCTATATTGAAGACATTGAAGAGTCAGAGTTTATATGCGAGTGCATCCATCTGAAAGGACTTCTGATCCGAGGAAACTACAAAGAAGCCGAAAAAGACTTTTCACTATCAAACTTGTACAGATTTTTGATAGAAAAAAATCTACAGGACTTGTTTCCCAACGTGGCTATTGGTTTGAAAATGTTTTTGACAACTCCTGCTACAAACTGTTCTGCTGAGAGATCGTTTTCGACCTTGAAAAGAGTAAAAAACTATCTGCGTTCAACAGTGACTCAAGAACGACTCGTCAGCCTGGCTGTTTTAGCCATAGAACATGAACTGACAACAAAACTCGATTTCAGTGCAGTTGTTGATGATTTTTCCAATGCACGTGCAAGAAAGAAGAAGTTTTAAGTTATATTTACTTTAACAAAGCTAATTTAGTGAGTAAGTTATTTGTTTGGATATGTGATTTGTATGCTCTGAACAGTTATATTTCGATGTTGTATATATTTGTTATTATCCTATATTCAATACAGAAATTATCATTTATTTTGCAGTCTTACTCTGTACACCTTTTACTAATTTTAGCCCCTTCCTAACTGTCCTGTTTTTGCCCATAAATCGACAGCAATGACCGATTATGGCTCAAAGCCTGCGGGCACATTCACAGGTGAGCCGTCGCCGAGTAACGAAGCCGAATTTTCACTTCACTCCAAATCAATCATTCTCAGCCAAAATAGTCATAAAACTATAAAAGAATTGTTGAGTTTGGGAATTACGAGCTGCATGATGTTTCACAAAATAATATCAACAACGATTTTATTTACTATTATTGTAATCTTAAGTAATGGAATATCACGGTTGTAGAAAATGGTTTCGTAATTAACGGAGTTTTGTCAAATAGTTTATTTTAATTAATAAAACGCAATTTTAGGACATAGTTTCTTGTTTTCATCATGAGAGGTACTAAAACCATTACAATATCAAGAGACAGTTGAGCGCTGGAAAATGTCCCAAAATGCGTTATTTTGCCTCTAAATTTCAATTTTTTTCGGGGGGGGGGGCCCGGACCCCCCCCCCCCCGGTGTTGCACCCCCGCTAGGGCGGCAGGCAGACCTCTGGCCCATGGGCGGCAAAAGTGTTAATCCGGCACTGCCTATGACATTATACCAAGTTAAGTGAGTTATAATGTAAGGTATAAAATAATATTTATTACGTTTTGTGATTATATATCCTTTAAAGTATTACCTATTTAGCATTATCATCGTAACTATTAAAAAATAATAAATTAACAATCAAATACCTGAATGGCTGCTAGTTATATATTTTAATTTGTCTCCTTATATAGTTGTTAGAGCTCGTATATGGTTCGCCTATTTTTGCAAACCGCTTCCAGAACTTTCCAGAACTAGTGTTTGATCAGGTACGTAGCAAGGGCTGGCGTGGCGTAATACAAGCCTGCATCTGACGGAGGGGACAAGGAACAAGTGAAATTGTGCTTGTGACAACCAAAATAGATAAATTTGTATATGTGGTATTATAATAATAGTATAATGATTAGACAATAATATACTACGGCAATATGATTACAATAGAATCTATGAAACGTAAATACTAAGTATGTCATCCTGTACATGATATAAAAGATTTTTGCGATATACCAATATCTTAAAACAATCAAATTTTGTATGCCCTACTATTCTATAGTTTCTATAAATTTCAAGTTTCTATAAATATTAAAGGGTAGTTAAGAAATAAATAATACGTTCCATTTTGAACTTGGAATTTATGTTATAGATTGGAGTATATACTCACCCGGTTTTCATTGGAGACTGGCCAGAAATAGTAAAAACCCGAGTAGCCATCCGTAGTAAATTGGAAGGAAGAACTGAATCCCGTCTTCCAGCATTCACACCTGAAGAAATTGACTATATTCATGGAACCGCCGATTTCTTTGGACTTAATACTTACACTGCCGAGTTGGTGCTTGATCTAGGCGAAGAACCTCCGCTAGGAGATCATCCCACCAGAGATCATGATGCGTTAATAAATACTTTCCAATCTAGTGAATGGGAAAATACGACTGTTTCCGCTGTAAAGGCATGTATTACGTTATTTTTTACTGATATAGGATTTTAAATGTAACTACTATTACTAATAGATTATATTTTCTTATTTTCTTTTTGTTTAGTGGACTACTGATTGTTCTTTCTTTTCTATTCGGGTAGTTTTTTCGAATATTTAATGTATTTTAAAACTCTTTTGTGAACTTATTGGATCTAAAACAACTTTGGTATTTATAATAGAATTCTTCGACGTATACTGGAACATCGACGATTTTAGAAGATGTCAGATAATATCTTCTGAATGGTTTTTAAAGGGATTTTATATACCAGTAATTTGTATACCCGTTGTAACTTTATTTTATTCTGCAGCTACTTTCTTGTGGCATCTTAATGTAATTATCATTTTAATGGAAATAATCCACAATTGAAATTTAAAATAAATTTATTGACATTTTAATGTCCATTACGGAAACACTTATCGGTATATGGATAACGATTTCCTAAGTGGCAATTGAAATGTCAATAAACTTATTTTAAACTTTAAATGGGGCTTATGGTTTTCCATCCTGCAAAATGTAAATTTATTATGGTATAACATGTATGTTTTTACACCTTGTCGGTGTTATTGTTTACATTTAAACATTTTTGGTATTCGTTTCTATTTCCTATAAATATATTTCTTATTCTATCTGTTTATGTTAAGAGTATGAGAATATTGACTTGGTATCACTTATCACTTATCACTTTAAAGGTCACTTAATCCATCCCATAAAAGGCCTTGAGTTGAGTCCTCTTTAAGCTTACAACAAAAGCCTTGTCAGTCGAGTACAATAGTATTTGTTCCTATTCCTCGGCCATCCAGCTATTTATCATCCGGTCTATCGTTTTCAATCCTAGATTTTGCTTACTTAAACTAATAGATAAGATAATGTCTAATCTATTGCGTCTTTCAATTTTATTGGAACCAGTTCTATTTGTTCCTGGTTTATTTTGACGCTGTAGTGGTGTCTGTACCGCTATCTTAAATCCTTCTATCACATCACTATAGGAACCAATCTGTGCATTAGCACTCCCTGGCGAAACACAGGCTGAATTTTATGGAATAGTTAAGTTTTCAGACTTAGTACTTTTCATCTCCTTAGTCTAAATGTTTTCTTTTCCATTTTTGGATCTTTTAGATCGGTAGAGGTTTTTTTAAGCCAACGTTCCAGCACCATATTTATGTAGTCTTCTTTTCTAAGTTCTACAAAGGCATTTTCACTTATTTTGACTTATTTTTCAAGAACTTCCGACATAATTAGTTCATGTTCTGCTATTTGAACATCTTTCTATAAACTTGGTTTTTGATAGAGTCTTCAACCGTAGTTGCTACTGTACACTGTTTTGGTTACTTCTGCATGTTGGTTAGCTCATTTTTGAGTCTTCTTTAAACTGTTTTGGTTTTTGTTGCTCTCCTTTATTGAGTTTTCACTTATTTTAGCTTATCTTTTCAAGAACTTCCGACATATTAAGTTCATGTTCTGCTGTTTGCACATCTTTCTATGAACTTGGTTGTTGACAGAGTCTTCAACCGTAGTTGCTACTGTATACCTTTCTGGTTGCTTCATGGCAACCGCTTAAGATGACTAGCTTATTTTTAATTCCTCTTTAAACTGTTTTTGGTTTATATTCAATGGTTCATTGAGTTTTCACGAACTAATTTGCGAAAGATGACAGTGCGTCCTTACTCTACGAAGGCTACAGTCTCTTAGAGTTTGTCCATTTTCTAAGGCATCGCTTGTTGTATACTTTACTCGCTGTACCGCGCAAGCAACCGCTCCCCTGAAGCAGACCAGACCGCCCTTCTGAGCCAACATCTTCCAACGTTTGTATCTTTTCGCTAGTACTTTCTACTTGTTTTCGTATTTTACTTTTAGTTCCGTTTGTTTCTTATCGATGGCTGCCCCTAATAGCTTCTCAGTTTACTTTACATCGTGCAAAATGTTATTTGTCATTTTTTTTATTTCTTATTATTTTTTATAAACATGTATTTCTGTTTATCTTGTTAAATCCATTTAAAATTTTAATTTAATTATCTTCGTTTTATTTGAATTACAATAAATACTTATATTCTTTATTATTTAAATCACACAGGTTGTTCCACAGAGTATAAGACCTTTGTTAAAGTGGATTAAAGACCAATACAATAATCCGGGAGTGTTTATTACAGAAAATGGATATCCATCCGCAGCAGGAGATATGTATTTGGATGATGACCGAAGAATACACTACATCCAGGTAAAGATATTTTAAATTAATATTTTAAGTTTAAAGTAGCTTATAACAGCAATAAAGACAAATAAGAGCCATTCAAATTTTACGCAGACACTAAAATTAACAATTCCGGCTTCGTTGAGACATATGGACTCGCAGTTCATTATAGAGTCATTGCGATCTCAATCGTCTACAAGTAGAGGAGACCTAGTTTAACAGATCAGTGCTCAGGAGCATACTATTAAGATCTTGTGCTGCAGGAGAATCTTCCCTTTTCCACAAGCACTCCAATACCCGTCTTCCACGCTATGTGCTTTGTCTAAGCGCACCTGTTCAACTTTCATCCAGACTGTATAGGGACCCATACCAAAGAATGTTTGGTGAGCTTAATCCCCTTCTTAGATCCTTTTTAAGTTTTATAATTATTTGTTTTTGATACTTTTGGATACCTTTTTATTATTTTTTTTACGATTTCATTAGTATGTCCTTATATAATTTTATTTGGTGGTTAATACTTGTAGGTGTTTAGTAATGTCTTAGGTTGTGTCTAAAACAAAGTGATTGTAAAAAATATCTAATGTGTTTATACCATTGTGGTTACTAGCACTATATATTAATGTCCCGAAGTCTTATTCCTGGTATCTGAATCTAGTGTATTCTGATCTAAAAGCTAGATTAATGTTGATTCTATACTACTATTATGGTTATATATACCAATTAAAACATCTCCAGTAACGAAGACTGTTATGACTCTTAGCTAATTCCTGCTAGTTTTCCGCAGTCGGTTTGTTTGACCGGGAATACTTCCCCAGTAAGAGTTCCCCATATTATGTTTGGATCCAGATTATTTTTCGGTCACGAACGGCATTTTTTGACACTCCTGCGACCATAGCTAATCTTCTTCTAAAAAGTTCATCTTATTTATTTCCGTATATTCTCCGGCGATCTGAAATTCATACCAGTGTGGCACTGTTACGTTTCGCCAATCTGTCGTTAATCTATTACGTCTTCCTCCTATCATTTACACACTAGACATTAGTTGACCTGAGGACATTAAAGAGCATGGCTAGTTGAATATCTGTACATATATTGATGCGCTAAAAGTGAAAAGTTTTGAAATCCCTCATGTTAGTTTATCCTGCACTGTGCATTATTACATAAATCTCCTTCTATAATAAAAAGGTATATTCTCCTATTGCAATAAAAATTTGTGCATTTCCCTCTCTACCGAATATTCTTATACCCGACTCTTCTGAAATTTAAGATCTGTTACCAGGTATAACTCTGCAGCCTAAGTAGTATGTTTATTTTGTCCCTCTCATAAGTAGATCTTTGCTCAGAAAAATACTTTTTTACTCTCTTTTACTCTCTTACTCTTTTACTACTCAGTATTTAGTTGTAGAATATTTAATACTACAATAGTTTAAAAGTAGGTCCACCTACATAGCTGCTGTTTCTCGTGCCCATCAAAATTCTTGTAAGTGGATATGGCTTCCATTATCATAGGTACCGCTCTCGGTCTTAAGGCCGTATGACACTATGCATTTTCTTGTATCATTTCTTATATCGTTTCTGATATAACAAAAAAATGGATAGTGTCATACAGGCGTATAGTTTCTTATATCAGAAACGATACAAGAATTTGTGTCCGCTGCATTTTATTGTACAAGAATTGCGCCAATTTGTGCGCAAAGCCGCTAAAACGTAAAACTTCTTTCATGTCATATTGGCGGATGGAGGCATAGAGAAATAAAAATAATTATTATTTTTATTTCTCTATGGCTGGAGGAGAACTTTGATATATACTAGAGATATGTAAGTATCTCTGATGTATACATACAATTAGGCCAAGCAGACATCAGAGAAAAGTGCCCACCAACAATAACCAAGAATAGAACCATAGATTAAGTATATATAAGTAGAGATTAGATTAGAACTGATTAGAACATCAGTAGCCAGATTGAAAAACAATAAATCACAGTGATTGTATCAAATAGCATCGGAACTACTGAAAGTAGGAGGAGATGTTTTACTAAAAACAATACATAACCGCACTAAAAATTCGTTATGAGTTTAAAGATTATTTTATATCTCCAAATAAGAGAGTAGAGTTTCAAGAGCATACCATTCAAACACATAATTTAAAAAAAAAACAAATAAATTATTACAAATTATTTATTATTTCTGTCTTCCATTACAACCTGTTGAATATCTTCAAAAATTGTGGTTTCCAATTTAGTTTTCATATTGGGACATTTTATTTCTTTCATTTTTGCACCACAGTATTTTAAAAAATAATCAGTAGCATATGTTCTCAGTCCCCAGTAGCTTGGGGTCCTCAGGCCCTTGTTCGGTGCCTCAGGTACTGCAGTTCTTTTTTTATAGGTGTCAAAAAATGTCAAAAAATCATGTGCCAAATCACATACAGTTTCTGGTAAAAGAACTTGCATAGTGTCATACAGGGCAAAAATGTACGTACAAGAAACGATACAAGAAAACATAAATAACTTTCTATAACAGAAACGATATAAGAAATGATACAAGAAAATGCATAGTGTCATACGGCCTTTATAATATTTGGCGAATATTATCTGAAGGTACTTGACTTCATCCACGCAGGAGTTAATTGTAGCGATAAGGAGGACTTCCTTCACCCTGCTCTTGTTCCAGTTTGTTGGAAATCAGGACAGCTTGAGGCTAATATTGCTCAGTATCTAGTCTAGTAAATAGTTTATACAGACAGACAGTTTACGGTAGTTAACAGTTACCATACTGGTGTCTATCTACTATTGCTCTCTTCAAACCTCTTGTAAAAATATTGTATCACCTGAGAGTTATAGTATTTTCTTACTTTCAGTCAAGACAGCATACCCTTGCCGTGCCAATGCTGTAATCCCCTAGGTGTATTGGATTAGGGAACACTTTTTCCCGTATTATGCATCCTCTGGTAAGGATAGTGTTAAACTTTGGGATTGGGAAGCCTAGCAATTGAAGCACAAATCCGACTGACTGTTTATTTTTTTTCACTTAATCTTTTAACTTAATCAACTTCCAACTCCTTTCTTTCTAGTTCTTCTTTGGTTTAATTTCTGTATAGTTACTAATTATTCTTTCAAAATTAGGCCATTTTATTCTTCTTCTGTGGTACGTTTGAAGTTTCTATTCTTTCTTTCATCTCACTTTTAAAAGAATTGGATTATTTAAACCTCTTCAGTTGTATAAAACTGTTTAATGTCTTTTAAAATCGATATATCTAACTACGGTTGGAAAGCATTTATGTTCTTCTGGCCCAATGATTCACATTTGTTTCTAATTTTCTATATATGCCTTGTAAAGAAATAATTTTGAAAATATACGTGATTCAGATATTCTTGAAAATATTATTCAAATCTGCAAGTTGTGGTTAAATAGGTTAAATAGAATGAAAAAACCTGCTTTAAAGTTTATATTTGCAAAGTATAATATATATTTCTTTAAATATAGTGTTGATTTGTTTTCTAGTCATATTTGAAATATATAAGAGAAACAATGGTAGATGATGATGTTTCTGTACTAGGATATACAGCTTGGAGTCTTATGGATAATATGGAATGGATTATGGGCTACACGTAAGTAACAATAATTTATCATTTAAGCCAACGTAGATTGGGTTGTGAGTTTAAGTAGTCGTTTTTTTGTTAAATTATTCATTTAATTTTTTTAGTTTCTATATTTAGGTCTATATTAAAATAATTCAATGTAAAAGTAAGTAAGAACGAATACATTGACTTGAACATGCATAGCTGGGAGTCCTAGAAATAACCTATAAGGTCCAGATTATCAAAAACTGTTTTTATAAACTCTTAAATAAATTCTCCTCGTAAATATTTACCTGAAGAAGAGTAGCGCTTTGTCAATCTTTGAATTAAAATTAGATCTTTCTTATTTTTCTGAAAAATCTTAATGATACTTAAATCTCACGCTAAAGAAAACGCTTACAAAAAACGTTTGTAAAATGAGAATCGTAAAAATGAAAACGTAAATATTAATACTAGGAATTAAACTTATAAAACGCATTAAAACGGAGAGATTTGTTGAAAACTAAGATATTATTTGTATAGAGTTCTTGTAAAGATAAGAAAATCTGAGAAAGACCCTCTATGATCTAAGCAGACGACATGCGGAGAATGAAGCATACCTTCTCAAAAATAGAATTTCCTGGAAACTTATGGAGGAGGCTTATGTTCAGCAGTGGACGCGAGATAATAAATGATGATCATGATAATAATTTAAAAATAAAAATAACGTGTGTGTAATAGAGCATCGCTATGAAAAGTTGGAAGTGTCAGATAGAATACTAGATAATACTAAAAAAATAAAATGAATAAAGCAGGTTATCACATATTATATTACAAGCTTGTATCTGTCTCAATTATCTGGTGAATTTATTTGGTACAATATTAAATAAAACTCAAAAGCTATAACAATTTCAGTTGTCTCAAAGACTTTTTCTAACAAAATTTTAATAAGGTCTTAATCCCTTTAGTTGAGTCAATATCAAAAATTGCTAAATATGATTAAATAAGTGTTCATGTAAGTAGACAATGTTGTCTACGATTGCTTTGTCTATTGACCCAATGCCAACTCTCTTGTATATTACAAATTATTTAAATTAACAGGCATTTTAGCCTTAATGCTGGATTGATAGTTTTCATTGTGTTTGGTTCTTAACTGTATCTTCATTTTTTTTGGCCGTCCTCTCTTTTTTGCTCTAGGCACTCTTCAACCAATTTTCTTGACTTAGTCTATTACCTTGCATTATTTCTATTTGTCCAAGTTATATTCTAGTCTACGTTTTTCCACTACTTTTGTTATTGTAGTATTAGCATACAATTGATACACTTCTGCATACGTTAGTCTTCTCCATGCTCCCTCTACTTTTTCCATCAAAGGTTCTACAAAGTATCTTTCTTGCTTATGCTTCCAATCTGTTCTGTATGCTTTTATTCATAGAACATGCTTCAGAAGCGTATAGCACTGTAGGTCTTATTATAGTTTTGTATGCCCTTATTTTTGTATTACAAGATATATCTTTGGCCTTTATAATATTGTTCATGGCCACAGAATATATATTGCTCTTGATCAGTCTTATGTTGATTTTAGTTCTTCGTTGCATGCTTGGTCAATAACGGTACCTAAGCACATAGATTCACCCACCTTCTCAAACTATACAACTGATCTATCCTCTTTCTCTAATTTAAAGTAGCCCCTGGTGTTTATTTCGTTTTTGCTGGACATTTTTATGTACTTGGATTTATTAATATTAACTTTCAGTCCCATTTTAGAGCTTTCTCAAGTTTTTTTTATTTATTTTTTTTTGTTTCTTTTTTCCCATTTTTTTCATATTAAGAGGTTTATTACATGATTGGTGTGTTCGCAAATTACTTACATGTTTCATCTTAATTCTATGGTTAGTACACTATATTGTTTAAAGTTTATATTTACAATTTCTTATTAACTGATAAATACAATTAAAGATTTCTACATTTCCAGAAAAAATTAAATCATTTATGTGAAATGGGAAACAGACATTTAGTTTTCGTAAGTTTTCATAAAAACATGTAATATTTCTTTGTTGGTTTACACATTCTAATAGGATATGTGTTAAATCTCCATATTTACCACAAGTACAGTTTATAGTGTCTGCTAGATTCATTTTGTACATTCTTGAAGGTGTTAGAGCATGAGTTGACCTTAGCCTATTAATAGTTTTAATACAATTTCTGTTGGACTCTGAATAAAACCACCTTTTTTTTTTAAGAAGTGTGGGTTGCCAATATTTACAGAATGACTGTCTTTTGGATTCCATATAATTGGCTTGCATTTTAATTTGAGTCGATGTTTACTACATACATATATATCTGGCACTGGTAGAATGTTGTTGTCTATGGTATCTCCGCTTGATAATGCTTCTTTTGCCAAAGCATCTGCTATGATATTACCCTTCATCCCAGAATAGTCTTTAATCCATGCGATAATAACTTCTCCTCCAACCCTTGAAACCTCGTAGGACAATTTTAAAATCTCTATATCAAGATGAGTCAATTGCTTGGATTTATTTGTTTCACATAATCTTTCTACTGCACTTTTACTGTCTGTAAATATTACACACTTCTTCATTTCCTTTGTCAAAGCAAGAGAAAGAGCAAACTTTAAACCCAGCATTTTGGATGTGTAGATGGTGGCTTCATCAGGTAACTTATATTTATGTTGTTGTCCAGAATACTGTTGGTATACTGATTACTGATTACTGTTACTGATTACTGATACTAACAGTGTTATTTCGTTTTTTTTTAACCATCAGTAAACATATAATAATAATTAGGCCATCTCTTCTAAATTTCTGCGTTAAACATAGGGCTTTGAACATCATTGAGAAATTCTGTCTTGATTTTTATTGAGAACAGCTTCTGAGCCTTTACCATTGCATTTCACAGTACATATGATTTTTCTAATTATCATTTATACCAATCCTACTATTTTTTTGTTTTTTATTTCTAATTATACATTATAGTACTGTTTATTTACAATAATATTTAATATTGTTACGTTACTTAAAATCCACACAAATATCAGTTACAAAAGAATTCACTGCTACTACTGACTCCGCAGACTTATATAAACAGATCATAATTTCTGGAACTGCTTATCGGCGCCAAGAACCTTCACATCGATCGAATATAAGCGTTCCAACATTCGCGGTGAAAAAGGTATTCTGGACGGCTAAAGCACAAGACCGCAATTAGGAGTTACACAAAAATATTTTTAAAAATGGCGATAGTATCGATATCAAATTCCCTTTGTATCTCACCTGTAAGCATAACCTTCAATTCTATATTCAAGATTATTATGTACAGTTCTTCGACGACCAACTCTGTACAACGTGCAATCTTAAAAAAAAATTATTCTATACCTATTCCGTTTTTTATCCATTCACTTGTATTTTAGTGATTTTAATAAAAATAAAAGACAGAAATAAAGAATAAAAATTCGCATGAAAATTGTTTTCTGCTTTTTATTATATGCAATCGACAAGCAAATATATGATTTTAAAGTAATACAACAATTTAAACAAGTAATGTTAACAACTAATTTAATAACATTTCTAACTGTTTTTGTTTTTTTTTTATTTTTAGTATAAAGTATGGTTTATATGATGTCAATTTCACTAGTCCAGATTTAACAAGAACCGCAAGACCATCAGCTCAATACTATAAGGAGGTTATTTTAACTAGATGTGCTACTATCGTTGGCTGCTTTGATGATTAACTTCTAAATGATCTAATATAACTGCTTTTATTAATATATTAAATAAAATTTAATAAGGTTTTTATTATCTTTGTATTAAATGTAAGTTTACATTAATGGTTTATATTTTATTTACTGTCATCATCTTTGGCTCGACAATCCTCTGTGGATCTTGGCCTGCTCTAAGATTCGTCGCCATTCTTTTCGGTTTCTGGCAACATGTTGCCATCTTCTGATTTTTAATATCCGTAAGTTAAATTATCAGCGAAGAAAGTCTGATGCTATTTAAAAATATTCAACTAAAGGGGATTAAAGAAAGTCTCTCTTTCCTGGGTTTGGGCGTATCTCGAGATAACGGGTATAGTAAATAAAAAAATTAATAACAAATAACACAAAGTTAATTAAAGTTAAATTCAAAGAATACAAAAGATTACAGAAATAAAAATTAAACCAACCCGTACTGGTTAAGTTAATACTCTGTTCGCACTATGGTTTAATGATTAACTGAGAATTAAATGTTCGAAATTTGGAAGTTCTTAAATGTTCCTTAATTGCTAACTCAGTAGTTAACCTTAACTATAGGTGAAAAAACTGTTGAACGTAGATTCGCCCAGATAATTAAAGATAGTATGATAACATACCATATTATTCGCCCAGATACTTAAAGATAATGGATTACGATAACCTCAGTAATTTTTGATGACTGCTACACTGTACTGAAGCTATATACTATACTTATATCAAGCACTAAAGTTATTTAAGTTAAAAGTAGTTTATACCAATATTTAATCTAATGTGGTATTAAATTAAAAAACGCAAATATACAAGCCTCTACACACTTAGAGAAAAATTCAGAGACGGTAAGAGACGGTAATTTAAGCAAGGATCCACCCTCACTCAAAGATCGCCCATCCACAAGTTCTTACTCAAAGACGGCCCAGCCATAAGTGGTGTTCCTCCTCTAAAAAATTCACAAACTACCCAAAAAAGGGTAAGGTAACTTCTACTTAAAAACGACAGGCCAGACAGTATGTATTTCTAAGAAGATAAAAAGGTTTCAACGACATCGAACATAACGGTACCCTTCTAGCTAGGAACGTGATGAAATACAACCTTTTAGATTGGGTTTTTACAGAAAATTACTATGAACGTGCGTTCGACGATATTGTTTGCCAAAGTATCAAACAGAACCCGCTTGAAAATCCAAAAAGGAATAACTAAGGATGAAACTAACCAGCGTGTTTAAGTAAGTAGACTCTTCCGTAATCTGAAAATTTGTGTGGTATTTCGGTAGGTCCCAATAAAATTTAACAGCCTATTTGAGAATACAACCATGAGCGTATCAGCAACGGGGGTAAAAGAATAAAATTCTTTATATTTTAATTATAAAAAAGAATGTTACACTATCAATATTGTATTATTATATTATATTATATTATATTATATTATATTATATTAATATTATATTATATTATATTATATTATATTATATTATTATATATATTATATTATATTATATTATATTATATTATATATATTATATTATATTATTTATATATATATTTATTATTATATTACATTATAATATTTTTTCTGTATATATTTTACCTGTATTATATTTTTTAGGTCGCTAATAATCCTTGTGGTTACAGCGGAAATAAGTATTAAAAAAAATTTGCTATATTATAAAACATCTTATAAATCAGCTGCTTTTTAAGATTGTTAATGCCACAAATAGGAAGTCAGTAAGATAATTTATTGATATGTATATGTAACCAATTACTTAGATAACGACAACGTAGCAAAGAGTACTTCAATTATCGGGTATAAAATTCAAATTTCGTTTATATAAAATTAATTTTGTTTCATCAATATAGTGGATGTATAGAAAATGAAGGTGATATTAGTGCTTCTTGTTGTGATCGCAAGGTATTTACTATTTCTGCTTTTCCGCCTTACGTTATTTTCAAAGATATTTGCACATTTGTAAATTTTTTTTTTCAGTTTTCTCTAATTATTACAGTATATTTTAATTTTTATACTATACAACTATACTGTAGTATAACTTACTTGTTATATGCTTGCAAGCTAACATACAAAATCAATAAAGTTCTATTTGAATCATTTCTTTACTGTAATATATAAATCGAGAAATTTTTAATTTTGGTACTTGTTCAGTATTTTGAATACACCCGTCCAGTTTAAAAATAGCTCATTACGCAACAGTTCATACTATAGAATATGACTAAACCATATTTTTTGCATAGGAACCTTTACTAATATACAACTTAACCAACTGATTGAATTAAATAATTGTGAATTGGTATTTAGAACTGTACGTTTTGTTATATAATTTCTATCAAGTGATTTAAAGGTATAAACAAAAATGTCTCTCTACTTAGATCCCACTGGATTCCTTTGAATCAAGTGGGATCCAAGGAACAAGTGAACTTAAACACTTTTTTTAAATATTTTCTATTGTCATAGTATAGTTTGACTGAACTTAATTTTGTGAAATTATCTATAAAAAATTAGAATGATTTAACCAAAATGGGTCTTCTTTTTTTTCTTTTTATGTAAACATGACTGCACCTATTTTTCAGTGTTTTTATATGATCAGTACATTTCATTCTTCTATTTATTATCCAATCCATGTTGTCCAATTTGCATCTTCGTCGTGTATCTGTACTTCGAGCTCTATTCCATAGTGTCTTCCGATTAATTTTTCTAAATATTTTCATCTCTGCTGTTTCTAGAATTCTTTGAGTTCTCTTTGTGTGGGGTCATGTTTCTGTATGGCATGATATGGCGTTATTGTTCTGATAACTGTTAATTATGTTATACGTTAACCGTTAATATGTATGTAATTATGCTCTTTATTTCTTTGCCGATTTTTTATTCCTCCGTATTGTTCCAAATACATATTTGCTCTATTCACTTGATCTTCCTCTTCTGTTTCGAGCTTTCCGAAACTAGACAGTGTGATGGCCAGATATTTAAACTTCAATACTTATTCTATTCTCGGTCCCCCAGCTTCAATTTACATCTTAGTAGATATGTTGTTATAACCATGTATTTTGGCATGTTTGAGGAACTTAGCATGTTAAATTTTCTGGCGTTTATATTAAATTGGTGAAGGATTCGTTGTAAATCATCTTCACTTTTTGAGAAATTAGTATTGGTTGTTTTTTCCCCATTTGGTATTCGTTTTTGTTTTTATTTTTTATTATTTCATCCATGATCAGGTTAAAAAGTAAAGGGCTCAGAAAATCCCTTTTTCTTAGTCATCACTAATTTTGGTCAGTTAGTTCGTTTTTTACTTTTATTTTTATTGTGTTGCTCTGGTATATAGATCTCTGTTGTGTATAATATGTGGATAAAGGCCTTTAATTTGATACCGTCAAATGACTTCTTTAGGTTAGCGAAAAATAAATATGCCGTTAGATTGTATTCTAGTGATTGCTCCTGCGCCAATTTTATTACAAATATAGCGTCAGGGCACGATATTTTCGATATAAAACCTTGCTGTTTTGATTATGGTGTTATAATTTAATTTAGTTTATTTGCTATTACTTTTGTTATTAATTCTAGCGTTGTGCTAATACGTCGGTTACTCTGTAGTTCTTCAGGACCAATTTTTCAACCTTTTTGAAGAAAGGTATTAGGATGTTTGGTCCCATTCTTGTGGAATTCTCTTTTGTTCTATTATTTTTTGAATAAGTTTTAATAAATGTTTGATCAGATCTGGTCCACAAATTTACCTCTGGTAGTTTCTAGGTGAATTGAGTAGCTCTGTAGCTATTACTGCCGGTTTCGAACCCGAATAAAGTAGAAGGGTTGCGTCAGACAGTAAAAACCTTTTTCAAAACCCCAGTTTCAAGTTAAGAGCCAATGTAGTTTATGAGAGAGAAATGTGTTCCTGAAAAGTACGTAAGTCTCACGAAGGATATGTATGAGGGAGCGTACACCAAAGTAAGTACGTGTAACTATCAAAACAGTTTTATGTATTACAGAGTAATTTTTTCTGAAAAGGAAGAAATGGCAGCATGAAAGCAATGAAAGTAATGTTTTATGTAATAGAACGTCCTGACTATCAAAAAAAGAAAACATTAGATAAAACTTAAAGCATACAAGAAGATTGGCTGATTAGAATCCTGGCAAGATCGCCATAGAATCTAATTCAGATCGAAAAAAGTAACAAAGTATACTCTGGGTGCCTGGAGATAGTTGTATTGATAGAAACAGAAAACGCCTATTTGCCAAGGGATGGGAATAAAAACATTCATATTCCCGGAATCTGTCGTTGGCATACCAAGAAATACAAAGAAAAGAACAATATAGGGCTAGGTCGAACGGATAAAACATAACCACTGGGGGAACAAATGGATAAACAAATTGGCTCAAACATACGAAAAAGAGATTTAAAGATCTACTAGATATGAATATGAATAGAAATAATTTGCGAATTATTGTAAGTTTCTCAACAGGACACTGACAGACATAAAGATAGTGCAAATTACAAATTCTGTTAAGATGGGACGATTATGAGAAAGGTTCTGTACAACTGCCCTGGCTTGAAAGGAATGAGGTTCAATACGTTTGAGAATTGTCAAACCAAGCTCTACCATTTTAAGTGTTAAGAAGGCTGGGCTAAAAGGATAACCCTAATCTCGGGATGAGCCACAATAGATTTCTTAGGTCGAGTGGAAGCGTTATTAAGCGCGCACTGATATTGAAACTAACCTTACCTAATCTAAGGAAACTTTAAAAATAACAAATTTCTGTCGATATGTATTACTTTTTTCGATTAAGCATCATGTTCATCAAATGAAACAGTTTCTAGCTAGAACTGTCGTTGTTGGAGTGATACGAATCCACATTTTACGTTCAAAACAAATGAGTGGAGGGAATATACTATTATTAGTATTATTACGCAGTAATAAGAGCTGAGGTCATTATATATAGACTTATAGATTGTACATACTTAAAACTGTTTAGTTTACCCATAAATAGCAGTCCAGTTGGTTTTTAAATGGATTTATAGATACAGGGTTTTTAATTTCCGTTGTGAGACTGTTCCTTATACTAAGAATACGATTACAGAGAAAATCATAA